TGTCTGTCTCTCTGTCTGTCGGTCTGTCTGTCTGTCTGTCTGTCTGTCTCTCTGTCTGTCTCTCTGTCTGTCTGTCTGTCTGTCTGTCTGTCTGTCTGTCTGTCTGTCTGTCTGTCTGTCTGTCTGTCTGTCTGTCTGTCTGTCTGTCTGTCTGTCTGTCTGTCTCTCTGTCTGTCTGTCTCTCTGTCTGTCGGTCTGTCTGTCTGTCTGTCTGTCTGTCTGTCTCTCTGTCTGTCTGTCTGTCTGTCTGTCTGTCTGTCTATCTGTCTGTCGGAAAAGAGCCAAAGTCAGCCTAATGTTACAAAAGAAGAAGCATGCATAAAGAAATATTAAAGATACAAAAATTATAATGAAACACAATTTACAAAAAACACATCCTGTAACAGTTCTGAGGATTTAGCAGCCAGGTATATATTGCACAGTTATTGACGGCTTATTGCCCATAGTTGGTATTTACCAACAAGGGGAAGTCCCAGTGTAGTCAGATATTGTGTTCATCCATGTCCTCCTCGCTGCACCTTGTCCCTAACATGACGCATGCTTTCTGCTTATTCTACAGGATCAGAGAAGACCCCGAGTGTAGACTCACAGCGCGGGAAGTTTATCGACTTTGTGGCGGCGAAGCAGCGCGAAGTCAGCAAGAAAGTCTCCTCAAAACAGAAGTAAGTTCACTCGCTACTCGTGGGTATGTAATCTTCTTTCTTAACTCCATGTGGTCTTTAAATCTGTGTCTCTCGTCCCAACAGGAAGCGCAGCACGGAGCTCCTTCGCCTCATTGATCTGGACTTCTCAACGACAGCCTCCCTGTTGGATCTGCCTCCTGTGAACGAGTACGACATGTACATCAGAACGTTCGGGACTGAAAACACAAAGCAGGTCAGGATGCTTCGTCTTTTACATAACAGCAGCATCAACCAGGACACATTTCAAGACAAGAGACGAGGAAACAGATCGAAACCAAGCTCTAAAGGAGAAAGTTGCTAGAGTCTGAATAACTCTCCCCTCCTCAGGCGTACGTTCAGTGCAACGAGGACAACGTGGACAGAGACATCCAGACAGAGGAGACGGAAGTGTGTGAGAAATGGACACAACATCCTCCAGAGCACCATGGAGCCTGTGGGGGTAAAGAAATACGTCTCTAATGCTCCTGTACCTCTCACACACACACATCCATAACTATTGGGAAGAGAATTGATTAGCGAGCTAAACTGGGCCCTCTTTGAATGGAGGGCTCAGATTTTCCTGCACGGCTCTTCAGACGCTTTTGGGAACACAAGGAGCCCCAGAGGATACGTTCCCCCATAGTTCCTGATTAGGTCGTGCGCGTTGGAGATGCATTGGGCTTGGCATAGTGAGGAGGAACGATGCTGCTTTGCCTTTTGTGTGTGTGCGTGTTCCTTCTTCCTTTCTGCACGGCTTTAGTTACGTTAGTGTTCAGCAATATTTCTGATCAAAAATCTTTTTATTGCGTTTCGACACTGCATCAGAGATGAAAGCAAAATACATGCATACAAATGAGACGGTGGTCTGTACTGATTACAAAGAGAAAATAGAATTACAAAGAACACAAACAAACAATAACAACGACTGTTCAGCAATATTTCAAGTTGCTTTCCAATTGTCTCTAACAGTGAACGTTAGTCTTCCTGCTTTTAGTGCATGCTCTAATTCAGGGGGGTCAAACTCAAGGCCCGGGGGCCAAATCCGGCCGTGACTTCACTTCATGCGGCCCACAAGAGCCTGCAAAGAATATAATACGTTTATTATACGGTTGCATGTCGATTTACAGAAGCACGTTGCCCATAAACTACATGTCCCACAATGCATCTCAAATGTA